TAGGATAAGGAAATAATAAATTAACCAAAATCAATAGGTATTAACACATCCATTCACACTGGAGATTCCACCAGTTTATAGTTCACAAATATCTTTTTCCATTTGTGTTAGCGTTTATTTTTGTTTTTCTGTTCGGCTTCATTAAGCGCTGTCACACACCCCAAAGATCTTTATATACCCTGCGCCTGCGGTGAATCTAAGCACAGACTTAAAATAAATTTTGTTTATTTTTTACATAAGGGAAAACAAAATTTATCAATTAATGGCAGACAGGTTATTTTTAAAAAATGCTGCATTTAACAAGATTAACTTCAAGACAAATAATCCGATACAATGGCAAGAAGTATGTTCACACTAAACATTGTATAATAAACATTGAGACAGAAAAATGCAATTTTAAGGGCAACACCAATCACAGTGACGTTTTATTCAATTATTTTCTGTATTTTTATGTTTTTTAGCGTCTTGATTTTGAAATATTCTAAATTGACAGACAAGCATGTTGAAATTAAGTTTTTATTTTTAGTTTGAAACAACAGGGTTGCGTCAGGTCATGTCTATTTTTTCCTTTTTACTGACTTAAAGGCCCGTCTATTTCGTTTTGGTCTTTTCTATATAATTCGGGGTCCGTCCCAAAAAAAATAACCCCCAAAATCTTTTTTTTTATTAAAAAATTGAAAGAAAAAATTTGGAGGAAACAAAAAAATCAAAGCTTAAACCTATTGAAAAATGTTCCCCCTAGAAATTGGTTAGGTGATTAAAGTAACTTTCCCCCTTTTTTTTTAAACAATACTCAAAAAAAGGCTTTTTTCTTGGGAATTTAAAACACTTTTTTTCCTTGGAACCCCCCCCCCAAAAAATATTGTTACAAAAACAGAAGCCTCTAAGCAATTTGTGTGTCTTTAACCTTTTTAACATAAAATCCTACACTTTGTTGTTATTTTGTTATCATATATGTATATTTTTCTTTTCACCCACAAAAAATGTAACACTAATTGTTAAGAATAAAGTTGTGGTTTGTTTGTATCCGCCTGTTTTTTGGTAGTTGAAATGGCTATGTACAAACTTATATATTGATCACAACATGTTGAAGAGAGAGGTTTGGCCCCATAAACCAGAAAAGATTAGACTGCGCGTTCTCTCCTGTCCCACTTGACCATCATTAAAATTAATTCAAAAAAAAAAAGATGTTTTTTTTTCTTTTTTTTCCCCCCGTCGGTTTGTATTATCCCCCATACACACTTTTTTTCGACCACACCTCCCTCAAAGGATAGGTTAAAAAAAAACATTGAGACACATTTCAGTAATTATTTAATAAATTGTATTTTGAGACTGTCGTTGTCAATATGTTTCGTAAAATATTTGTTGATTAGGTTGAACAAATAATCAATATGAATCTCAGCCTCCTTCCTCACCTGCCTTTATAAAGTATTTTGTAGTTATACGCATTCATATTTTGTTTTTTTTCTAAAGACTCTTTGTTTTCGGAGTAAAATAAAGAAAAATTTTTGTATATGCCCCTAAAATTCCATTTTAACTTCCATACGATTTAGTTTAATTAATAAGTTCAAAGATTTGTAAACATTTTATATTTACCCACCTCAAGGACCTTTTACAACGTATATATCTATATTTCTTTATAAAATATATGATAGTTAAAATAGGATGACCAAAATTTTATGAGGCCCAAAACCGACACTTATAACAACTGACCAATTCAAAGTCACCAAAATGGTATTGGTCATTTAAAAGAGCTTTTCTACATTTGCCAAGACACAACATCAGACACACCCAGTTATTAAAAGAGGTTTTTGGGGAATTTAGTTTCCCCCCCCAAATTTTTTCTTCACTGGTCCGGGCTTGGCATTGAATACTTCCACAATATTATATTTTTAGCAATACTGGCAGTTATATAACTATTTAAAAACCAGTTCTATATAAATCTCGAACCACAATTTTTAATCAAATCCGCCTTTCCTTTGAATTATTTATATAATAAATAGGCCAATTACAAATGTTAAAATATACTGTAACAATACACAGATACTAGGGGAATCAAAACAACAAATCCTACCCACTTCTAGATATATTACACCCCACCTCTTTAATTTTGGAGCGATGCCACAAAATTGATATTTTTTTATTTACCACAACGATAATAAGAAATTATTGTGCTTGATAACCACATCCTATGGGTTCAGTTATTGTTATTCTTTAGTAAACTATCTATAAAGTGCAAGCCTGGTTGGAAAAGAAAGGTGGAATTTTAGATACTATTAATAGGTATTAAAAAAACTGTGCCTGATAATAAGCGTATGTAGTCTTTCTAAACCCACTAAAATCAGACACTGCCCCATACGTAAGCCAGCCAAGATCAAGCACGTTCATTAAAAAATCTTTAAAACCAAACGACAGCAAAGATTTGCAAAAGAACATTTTGATGATTTTTTGGAAACTGCAATGAATATAAATCTTAAAAACCACACCAGTCTATAAAAACCCTGGGTTACCTAAAAGAAACCCAAAATGCTTATCTCTCTGTATTCTATTCCTCGGCGTTGTTCCTATATTTACTCACACAACATATGATCCCTGTACCGCTATAATCTTTTTAAACACAAACGACATGGGTCCATCCAAAAAATAGTGAATAAATTTCCTTATATGTAACCCTACACTATTTTGCTCTCCCAATTCCATAACACACCTGGTGGAAACAATTACACAGGTCTTTGAATATTCCTTATATCATACTCTACAAGGTAGATAAGGCGTTCCTATATAAGTGACACACCGTTAAAAAAGAAAAAATTGTTATCTCTTATCCCGGAATATTTTCCTGTTGTTTTTCAGGGCATTTTATGAGCGGTTCCTCTGTGAGTTGTATTCCTCGTGGTCCTTTCGTGTGGAATGTATGAAAAAGGCAGCATTGTTAACAATGTTTTTCTTTGAGACTAAAGTCACCACCACGTAAAAAACCTTTTGTATATTTTTTGATCGGGTTAAGTTGTAAGTGATGTTGGGATTTAACTCCTTTTGGGGTTTTCCTGCACTCGCGCGAAAATAGAATACACACGCGCATATTAACAACATGAGCGCGACACCACTTCCTTCTTTTGGTATGTTATTTTACCACCCCTGTGGCCTTGGGCTGAGCTCTTCTTTGATGATGCGCCAAGTATTCGCCGTGTTGTACACAGGAATAAAGAATCTTCCGTACCAGTCCAGGAAAACTGTCTACTCCCCTCTGGCGCAATCTACACACATTCCTTACATCATGTTCCTTTTTTTTATGTAACTCTTGAAAACTTCCACAGAAATTCTCATTGTGATCCAAATACGTATGAATTATAGTCCCGCTGATCTGCGAATACTCTTGTAAGCGAGCTTGGCTAGCTCCAGCATTTATGGCTCAGCTCCAACCTCCCGCAAGTAACAACGAGCGCAGTCAAGTCCCATCTTTAGCTCAAGACCTGAGATTGGTCATGAAATCTGTCTGGATGTGGAGAAATTGGTTTATTGTTGTTATTAACTATTATCTTTCTGTTCCCCTCCTGATAAAACCAGGGCAAATTGTGTTGGTGGTTGTTTGGATCCAGTGTGATTTGACATGAATATTGTAAGAACCGCAGCTCTGGTCGTGGGCTCTGGTGTGAGAGTAAAAGATCATGTCCCATACCCTCTGTTCGTCCTTGCAATCCATCTCATGCACAAAGAAATGGCTTGTATTCCTGTTTGCGTGGCTTTTTCGCGACAGCCGCTGTAACATCCTCAAGCAGCTGCATGACAAAGTGATATTTGGTCTTGGTGAGTCTGTAAACTGCAGAAGGTTGTGACAGTAGGGGTATTTGTTGAAGAAACTGGTGTTAGTCCTCTGTGGGCGGACGGGAGGAGAGTGTTCGCAGCTCATACCGTGCGCCTTTCCTTCAGGCTCAGCGATCCGTCCTGGTTCAGGGCTTTCTCCTGGAAGGTCCTTTACCCGACTCACCTCAAAGTTTCCTGCCCTGGGAATCTGATCTGCTGGGGCTTCAGCATCAAGAGCTTCCTTTTCTCCAAATGACACGGATCAACTTCAGTAAAACCTTCCTCACTGTGGCTCCACTGTTTTATCAGCTCAGAGTGATTGATGGTCTCCACCGTCCTTGGGCTGAAAGCACCTTCCCAGATCTTTCTCTCTGAACCTTGGATTCTCTGCTGGATGTTTTGCCTGAGCTTTGACCTGAGCTGCGGCTTCTGCTTCTCAAAATCGCTTGTGTTGGCAGGCCTGAGATGCTGTGTCGTGGCAATTTATGTCATGCCATTGGGAGCAGACGATTACAGATACACTTCTGATCAGTGGCGGCAGAAGATGCTTCATGCAGCCGTCAATGCCATGACGGGAGCAATTGGTGTCCTGAAGTTTAAAAGAGTTCGACAAGTTTGTGTTTTCTTTAAAAGTAGAGATTCATAGTCGAGGTTCGAGGTGTTGCTCCACAGTAAGAACCACACAGAAACAGACAGAGCTTGAAGCTTTCGCTTCGCTCCCAAGTGCAGAACATCACGGGTAGGCATCTCCTGGGTCCGGCAATAGCAGTGATCAGCAGCGAGCAGCTTGAAGTCCAATCCTTCTTCCCACTTGCCCTCCGCACTAAAAAACTCTGGCCCAACATGGTGTTCTTTCGGGCGGCCCAGCACAGGGCCGTCGGGATAAAGTTCCTTTCGACCACTCTTTCGACACTGAGGGCAGCTGTGGATTTTCTTCTCATCCTCTTCATCCCAGAAGCTTTTAATACAGTTCATGCAGTAGCTGTGTCCACAGGGAATAGTCACCGGATCCTTCAGTAGATCCAGACAGATCGAACAGCAGAATTTTACCTTGTCTGCCTGATTTCCTTGCTGCGCCATTTCACCTCTCAACAACAGGGAATGACTCAACAGTTTCACTTTCCTCACAGCTATTAAAAGCTTGACACAATAAGCCAAACCTTATTTTCTTTGCACTTTGATTTGCAGTCATTTGCCTTGCTTGTTGAAATATCAATCACCAATCCTGTACTGGCAGATTTATAAAAGGGGCAGGAACTAGGAAATATTTAGCCAGAGTTAACAGTGTTTGAGATAAAGGGAGGAGTTAACAGTCTTTATCTACTTAAAGGAAAAGGAGTGGTTTGAACCTTGGTAGCACTTATGACCCTTATTTAGACGTGTACATTCAGTGTAAACTTTGTAATGTTCTAAACCTTTAAACCTTTCAGATTGAGCTTTGGTAAGCTTTGATAACATAGTTGAGCTCCTTCTGCATTCAGGTGGTCAGTTGTGAAGCAAAGCAGGAAAACAGGTAGTTAAGTTAATAGGCATCTGTTAGGAATAATTTCACTTTTAACTTTACCTTTCAGAAATCAGAAACTTATGCTGCTCCATTATATTTAATAGTATCATAAATTGGACTTTGCACTGCAAGAGAATTAGTGAGGTCTAACACTGATGTTGGTTGATATGGCCTGGCTCACAGACAGCGTTCAAGTTCATCCAAAGGTGTTGGATGGGGTCCAAATCGAAGTGAGAAAATAATTTCTTCATGGACCTGGCTTTGTGCCCAGAAGCTCTGGCATGTCAAAACAGGAGGCTCTTCCCTAAACTGACACAAAGTTGGAGACAAACTATTATCATTGTATGCTGCATACATAAGCATTAAGATTTCCCTTCACTGGAACTAAGGGGCCTAAACCATGACCAAAAGTTGTTGGGGCTGTCTTCCTACTGTTGGCCATATAGTCTACTCATAGAAAACATGTTTTGTGTTGGTGTCAGGTTGAAAGATAGCATATGCAATTTTGAGATTTTAAATGCTTTCAGGAAAAAGGGACAGAGAGAAAGTATGATGATATTGTCAATAGACCTTTTTCACATCAGCCATTTTGACATGAAATAGTAGGGTAAACACAGGTCTTACCAATTATACTAATTCTATTTAGTGTGGCAGAGCCTATCCAGTGAGCCAACATGCACAATAGCAGACTCTGTTTGACCTCAATGGAAAAGAACCTAAATAAGTATCAGCAGTAACACCTGTGTTAACCCTACTATTTCATGTCAAAACGGCTGCTGTGAAAAAGGTATATTCTGTACTGTATCTCATGTTAAAATGTAAAAGTGTAACCACTGAAGCCGGAGATATATAGTACTTGTTGCAGATACCCTTTTAATCCATTTTTATAAATAAATGTATGCAGAGAAGATTCAGTTAATCAACAGTAACAAAGACACAGCGGGTTAACATGATGCCACTGCATCAGTTTTTATTTTCACAGTTGAATGCATCTTTTCAATCCAAATCAAGGCTTTGCACCCTGATCCCAACAAACATACGTTTCATATCAACACACATCACATTACAGATCATTGTTAGCATTAAAACATGTCTAGAACATGTCCTCAAAACACTGTTGTTCTTACATCTCCTTCCACTTCAACCTAGGACTAGTTTTCCTAAAAGCATCTCGAAACAGACGTCTGAAACAGCTGAAATTTGATTTAGATTTTAAAATACTCAAAGTGCATCTTTGCTTAATTTAGGAACAACTTACTCACTTTGAGGAAGTTTGAGCTAATAAGCTGTAAAGAAAAAACTTTTTACAAGACTTTTTGTGTTTTTTAGCTATCAGGATCAAGGTTCAGTATAGGTATTCCAGAAAAAGGATTGTCTTAAATAGGAAAACATTTGAGAATCTAGCTTTTTTTTAAATAAATAAGCACAAATAATATTTTTTTAGCTGACTGAACTGAACATAAGATTCGGAGATTTCTTTTAGGAAAACCAGCCCAGTTTTGTTCAAAATCCTAAATTGTCTACGGTACTTGATTTAAACAAAAAAAATCAGTTCCTGTCTAAAATGAGGCATGATGTGAAATGATCACACACACGTACACACACTGCATTTTCTAAAAACACACACAAAGGGCCTAATAACTGAAGCCACCCTGGGGCAAATCAGTCTGAAATTACTTTAAGTCTTTGTTTGCAACAGGTGTAGCTGCATCGCTAACAGCATCAACAGAAGGCTCCTTTTGGTTTGGTATGAAGCAAAAAGAAAAGAATTAAGACTACTGGGTTCATAGCAGGCATAGAAGGTCAAAGGCCGAGCCACTGATTTAAAGAGTTTGACTTGTTGCAGGGCTTCTTTAGAGCAAATAATTCGTAGTGTGAGGAGCTAAATCATTACTGCGATGACTGATATGTCGATGATGATTAGTGTTATTATAATACTTAGTGTTAGCAGACTTTATGAAGATTCATTTTATAACATCTAGAATTTCCAATACATTATAAAAAATGGTGTTACAATAAATCCTAAATGCAAAAATGTGACAAAATGCATTGTAATGCTAAAAATGTGTCGCAATGATCAACAAAATTTGATCAATTGAGCCTGTTAAAGTGTTCATTGTTGACACTGATTTAACACTGAAGTGTCAGCTGCCTCAAAATGTCTTCTCAACCAAAAATATAAAAAATAACCAGAAAGACCAGAAACTGATATAATACATCGTAAAACTTAACACATTCCCCCACATAGTCTTTAAGTGAAACAGAAGCTTTCACATAATTTGTTTTTATCTAACTTTATCACTGAATGTACTAAAACATAATGTATGTAATGTTACACCTCTAATGGAGAGTCTGCACTACTGTAATAAACAGGATTCAGTGCTTATCTTGTAGCGTTTCACGAGTCGAGGATTCAAATCTCCCAGTTAAGGCTGAACCTGAAGCAGCTCTGTGTAAACGCTGCCCTCTCCTTAATTTGATCAGAGCCAGCCAGCGATGAACCAGGCTCAACTTTTGCTGGACTGTAATGTGCACATTCCTGGTAGATTACTTTGTAACGTGAATGCTGAATTTCTAATGTTTACACCGCACATCAACGCATTTATACAAACGTTTGACTCAAATTTGAAAGTGATGCTGCGGTTTGAGCTGGTAAGCAAATGTCAATTTGACCAAGACGACCGTAATTAGCATAACTATAATAACCGTAAATATATCTGTGATACTGAATCTTTAATCTGACTGTACGGTATGGTTTGTGGAACCGTTTGGAGAAGGGCAGATACACAGCAGGTGATTGGATGAGCCATGTATCACCAACTATCGCAAGCAAAATTCAACCAATCAGATCAACGAACCATAGAACGTATCTAAACAATTAAGAAATAATCTCCAGTTCTGATATAACTGACACCAGCAGCATCCACGCTAACCTCTAACAGTGTCTTCTTGCTGCATCT